GCGGCGCGGAGCGCTTCGGGGTCGGGGTTAGTGCAGCTGGTGGCGGGCCGTGACCGGCACCGCGCCGTGAGGCCAATAATACAGTAAAAACACGGACGACACTTGCGCACCCGAGGGTCGAGGCCGCGCGACAGGTCCTCACTCGATACCATGTACTCGAGCAAAACGATTCCGCTCACCACACGGTCACACTCTCCGCAAGCCATCAGCTCTCGCGATGAGGCTTGCATGACAGTGGACAGGTTTGAGCTCGTCTGGCGTATCAGCATCCGGCGCCGGGCCGCGAGTGCATCCGCCTCGCCACCTCCCTCCGGCTCCGCCTTTGGTGGTGCCTTAGCTTCCTCGTCTCGGCCCTGCTGCCGCGTGGACGAGGGCGACGCACGCCAGTGCGCCAGCCGAAAGCCAGAGGGTTGCGCCGCCAACAAGGAATGCGGCGTCGCGGCAGTAGATGCACTGCCAGTGGGTGAGGCGCCGATCCATCCGCCTCGACTTGTTTGCCCGACGTCGACCCTGCGCTCGTCTTGTGTGATCGCGCCTCCGCCACCGAACTCCCCAACGACATCCGCAGGTTGTGTCCCGCCACCGAACTCGTGTACATCACCACGTCGCCGACCGGAGAGGATAGCGGCTGCAGTATTGCCACCGGCGTAATCGCTCCTCGCGTCGACAGCCAAGGTCTCGCAAGCCGCTCATCGGTTCCCTGCGGCAGGCGCTCCTCGATTCGCTGCGTCTCCGCTCGGTCGTCCATCGCCGCCAGCCCCGCTCAGGTCGCGTTCGGTCGCCAGCTCTCCAGCTCGTCGTTTGGTCACCGAGGAGTCGGAGCGCCTCAAACTCCAGGACGTGCCACCTGGACGCATCCTGTCTTATCGAATTTGTGCAGGGCGAGAGTACTCGTCCGAATTCCGGCGTTTTTCATATTTCTCACCCCACTACACTATTAGTCACCCAAGGGTGAACTGCTGACAGGGTTTGCGATGAGGAGCGATCCTAACGTGGTATTCGGGTGATCAGATCACTAAGAGCTTGGAGGAAGGTTTTCGATGGCAGGGAGACAGATGGCTTTTGAAAGCCTTTACAAAAAGAAAACAACGCAGCTAAAGATATATATATATGTCGCCGGTCCCTGCGCCCGACCCTGCGCCCGACCCTGCGCCCGACCCTGCGACGTTCGCATGCCTGCCTTGCGAGATCATGCGCCTCTTGCTGCTGCCCGTCGAGCTCAAGACGCTCTCTCGGTCAGCGTGTGTCTGCCGAGATCTGCGCAACGCCGCAGAGGACGTGCTACAGGCTCACGCCGAGCAGGCAAAGCTTCCGACAGACGGTGGCTTTCGCGTGCAGCTGTGGCGGCTGTTGCACTCGAGCGCTGCACGCACCATTGCCGCTGGGGCGTTACACTCCGCAGCATGCATCGGCGGCGGGCTCACCACATGGGGAATCGACGAGAACCAGCGTGGTTTCCTAGGCATCGGCCACCATCACTCGCGCGTGCCACCGACGCGCGTGCCGGTGCCAGCTCCCACAAGCGAGCGCCAAGAAATCATCGCCGTCGCAACCCACTCGCTGCACACACTCGCGCTCACCAAGTCGGGGCACTGCTTCAGCTTTGGATTTGGCGAGGCGGGGCAGCTCGGCCACGGCGATGCGGCGACCCTGTGGCGGCCTCGTCTCATCACTGCGCTGCTGGGCGAGCGCGCCGTTGATGTTTCTGCGGGGCAGCAGCATAGCCTCGTCCTCACCGCCGCCGGCGCGTCCTACGCGTTCGGCTCCGGCTTCAGCGGCAAGCTTGGACTTGGTGACCAGCGCAGTCACGCCCTCCCTCAACGCATCGGCGCGCTCGCGCAGGTCCGCGTCGCCGTCCTCGAGGCGGGAGCGCTGCACAGCCTCGCGGCGGACGAGGGCGGGGCCGTCCACAGCTTTGGGTGAGAGAGAGAGACCACCATTGGTCATGCACCCACACCATGCACCCACACCATGCACCCACAGCTTGTGAGAGGCCATCGGCCATGAGCGCATGCACTCATAGCATAGTCACGGCACGTGTCAGGTGCGGCTCGGATTGGCAGCTCGGCCACGGCACGCGCGAGGACGAGCACACGCCGCGGCCAGTCGCGGCGCTCCTGGGCAGGCGCATCGTGCGGCTGGCGGGAGGGGAGCACCACTCCCTCGCTGTCGACCACGCGGGGCAGCTCTACTCGTGGGGCGCAGGCGAGGCGCGAGAGCGGACGAGCGGCTACGCGGGAGGCTGGCTAGGCCACCGCGCTGTCGACCCGCAGCCGCTGCCGCGGCCAGTCGCCGCGCTCTGCGGTGTGCGCATCGCCGCCGTCGCCGCGAGCAGCCGGCATAGCCTCGCCTTGGCCGACGGCGGCGCGCTATTCTCCTTCGGCGACGGCGACGGCGGCAAGCTCGGGCACGACGACGGCGGCCGCATGCACTGGGTGCCGACGCGCATACGCGCGCTTGAAGGGCTCCGCGTGGCCGCCGTCACCGCTGGTGAGGCGCACAGCATGTGCGTGCTCGAGGACGGCCGACTGCTGAGCTGGGGCTGCGGCGGCGCTCTCGGGCTCCCAAGAGCTCTCCTCGAGACTCCTGAGCAGCCGGCCAGCTGGGCCTCGGCGGGCAACTACGAATGGGCGCCAGGCGACGAGGAGCGGCGCTGGCAGGCGCACGTGCCAACCCCCGTGGCCGTGGTGGGGTTGGTGCCAGAGCCTACCGATCCGACGCGTGGATGAAATGCCATGACCTGTCGAAACCGACTGTTCCCCTGCCGTGTTCAATACATCACTGACAGTCTCCTGTCCCAGAGAGCGAATACTTGTGGGATGCGAAGCTCCGAAGCATCTGGTTCAGATGATTCGAGCTCATCCCAGGAGATGCTCCGGCATCTTAGTTGATAAAACCATCTCTACAGCTCTACACACTACACGGCTTTAGATATGGTATGATTATGTGCTCGAGCATAAGCGGAGACAGCGTGCATCCGGTGCATGCTGTGCATATCTAAGTAGGGGGCATCTTAAGATGCATTTTCCTCTCAAGATGCGCATATCATCTGCCCCTGACGGACGCCAATGGTTTGCTCTCACCGCGAGACCGCGCGTATGCGGTGTCTCCTGTCTCCCCCCTCTTGCCTCACAACAGTACGTTAATCCGGATAATCGTTATAGCACGCGTCACGGCCAGGGGACGGTGTCGAGGGACGGTGACCCCGCCCGCCCCGGGTGTCTCAGTTGGCGGTCCATCTTGTTTTACACATTGAATGCCGTGGGGCTGCCTCCTGCCTGTCTCATGGGTTGGGGTGAAAGGTGACGAGGGTGGGGCGAGTTTGCCCTGCGTGCTGCGAGGGTTGCCCCCATTTGCCCCACCACACAAAGGGTGTGGAGGAAGTTTATTACCTTATTACCTCCACCCTTCTCATTGTCTTGCTACAATCCGCGGTCGCACAGCGGTCGCAGCTGAAGAGGAGGGCCCAGCCCCAGGCCGGACGGACGGACGGACGGGCCTCCGGGGAACGTGGAACGAGGCGGCCTGGGTCGCGTTGTGTCTTGCTTGTGTGTATGTCGATGGCAGCATGCACACTCAACACTGCTCTGCTCTGGGGTGTCTGTGGGGTCCCGGGACAACGTATTAAATCTGATTAAATAGATGTGTAGATGTGGAACACGAAGTGTTGCTGGTGGGTGAGAGAACGCACCTGCGCGCGGCGCACAAAAGAATGCTCGCGCGGCTCGTCGCGTTCGTCGTCGCGTTTCCCGAGCGGCCGCAGCAGCCTCAAGTGGTTCAGCTCTTTCGCAAGCCTCAGATATCGACTGGTCGGCTGGAAATTGTGGAGGAAGGCCTCGACGTCTTGCGAGCGCAGACTGCGCCATTTGCTATTGTCGCAGCTGCTGGGCCTACTCGCACAGGAAAGAGCTCGATACTCGACCACGCTTTCATTCGTGGCCGCTCGGGAAAGGGCTCCATTTTCGACGTGGGTGATGGGGTCGTCTCGCACACGACTGGCATTTGGATGACGCGCGAGCCCATGCGTGTCGGCGAGCTCAACATCTTCATCATTGATACCGAGGGCTTTGGGGGCATCGGCTCCTTCACAAGCCGGACGTACGAAGCCAATCTCTTCGGTCCAATCCGGACGGTGCTCGGCTCTGTTGCGCCGGCAGTCACCTCTAAGCGATGCTCGGTAGGCATTACGTACATGCTCTCCTCGGTCGTCATCTACAATACGATGTATCCGATCGACGCGAACGCCGTGAAGCAACTCGAAGGGTCTGCGTAGCCTTCGCAGCGCTTCCCCTGCCTTTAGAGAGCGATCTCGCTCCCCTTTTCATAGCGGCTCCTCCGTCACGGCAGGCACGCGGCGCACTGCGAGGAGCTCATGCAGGCGTTGCGAGCCAAGGGCAGCCTCAACATCAATCGCCACAGACCGCGATTGCTGTGGTCTGTGCAAAACTTTAATTATCATCACCTGACCAATTCCGCGATGTCCGTCGACGACCTGCTATGGAATCTGCGAAGCAGCTCGGATGCGCCAAAGGGACAATGGCTGCTCGATCGGCTCTTTCGATCTGTCCAACTGGTGCCTGTGCACAAGCCACACGGCAGTGACAAGGCCGCGGTCCGCCCCGCTTGGCCAGGCCCTGTGTCAACAAGCGCCCACAAGGTTTGTTTGCGAACCTAGGTGCTCGCAAACTTGGGGAGCTTGGGCGGCTCTGCCGTCGACGTGGTCTCTCCAAAGTACCTCGAGGACGCCGACGAGCTCCGGAAGGCGGCGACGGAGGAGGGCAATATTGAGCCGGTGCACTGGTGCCCCCCGGACGACACCGGCGCCGATTGCGCGATGCGCGTGTGGCAGGGTCCGGGCTTCGTGGACGCACTGCTTTCCTGGGTCAAGTATGGCTACTTGCTCGAGGACGCGCACTCGACGGGCGAAGACAACATTGAGGAGGAGCTTGAAAAGCTAAGGATCGAGACGACGCGTTGGCTCAACAGCCAATGCGACGTCCTAAACGACCAGCTTCGAGCCAAGTTTTGGCACTACTACACTTCGAATGCATCCAATGCGGAAGAACTGCGTGCACGGGCACTCAAGGATGTGGCGGTGACACTCGAAACATTCAGCAAGTCGACGATGGCCAAGACGGTGGAGCGATCAACCTTCTGGGAGCACCCAGCAAAGGTCCCGCGCGCCCATACTCTAGTACCCGCCTTGATATTCATGACTCTACCTTCTGACATTAGGCTGCGACAATCGTGGAGAAGCAATCCCAGCGGGCTGTAGTGCTGTGCGCGCAGGAGCTCAACGCGACCCGCGCGTTCATGGAGAACTGGGCGGCAAGCAAAGAGGAGGAGCGCAAAAGAAGAGCGCTGTCATCTGTGGCCGACCCGCCCCCCCCGCCTCCACCGCCCCCGCCATCGCCTCGGCCTACAGTTGCAAAGGCAAGCCAGACTGTGTCGGATTCCGTCGATATGCCGCCACCGGCGGCGGCGCCGAAGAAAGTGAAGAGAGCACGCGAGGTGTGTTTCACCGTGTATGAGTAACGTGTAACGAGGAGGTATGGGCGCCGCGGTTCGTGCCACCGACGCCAAGCCTCACCCTCCCGGCTCTCAGGCCCCTCGGCCACACGAGGCCCCCAGGCCCAGCCCAAGGCGCCCACCCCACACGCGGGGGCGCACGGCCACGGGCGCCGACCCGCGCCCGACCCGGGGCCGGGGTCCCCACACGCCAGAGAGATAGCATCAGCGTGATGAAATCTCCTCGATTGAACGGAGACCTTACTCTACATCAATGCGCTCAATCTGTCTCCCGGCCACCCCATGCTCTAACTCAGGGCCGCAGTGCCACGCTGGCTCGGCTCCCAGCGGACCGCGCGGCCGAGCCTCAACCAGCCTCC